CATACGGTCATCGATAAGAAAAATGCACGTGCATTCCCATCGCACATAGAAAATGATTTCATTCTGCAGATGCGTGCATTCAATTTTCCACAGGGGTTGGCCAAAGTGTGTACTGTCTACAAGATGCATTGCAGTAATGCCTTTGTGTGTGCCTGATGCCTTTTCAGCCGGCATAGTGCCCAAGTGAATGTCATTGATGTGTAGGTGGCGTCATCAGCCTGTCTCTTTATTGCTTTAATGGTCTGGGGTTTGCCAGTACCACTCCAGAGCCCATTGATTTGTGGGTAGGATTGTCTCTGGATGCACTGCAATAGTTTGACAAGTGCGTTGAGGTCTTCGGGTTATGTAAATGATTTAGCAAAGAGTTCCTTCAGCTTTACACACCATCAGTTCTTCTAAAATGTGTTCGTGTATTATACCTGGAAATCTTATTTCTTTTTTTCACAATATACAACGTCTGATATTGCTAAGTGGTGTTACGTCTGGTTAATGACTTGTGCTATGACGTCCACTGCTGGTTATTGTTCTTACTACTGTATTTTTATCAAAAAACAGAAGCAAAATATCACAACGTGTAGCATATATGAAACAAGGTTTTCCATTAGGCACACGTATAACTGTTTTGTTGTTCTAGTTTAATAATTAGACGCACTTGTTAAAAAGCTTGTTTTTCTTTTTAATACGTTAGATATGTAGTTCTAACTACTGTAAACTAGCTTCTACTAAGTCAGTTAACATAATGTCTTGCTCAGTTGACCAAAAAAATGGCCAATTTTAAAATAAAACAACCATCAAATAATAAAAAGGGAAATGGATAATATAATAATGATTAAATCTGATGCATTTAATGTGTGTACATCATGGCTTTAATTTGTGTAAGTACTTTGTGAGAAAAAAAGAGCGTCAGCGTGCATATTTGGACATTTAAGTTATTTATTCATTTCTTCACAATGCTGTTGGGAAAAAGGCATATTCATCAAGTTCTATCTCAATAATGCAAACCCTATCACAGATGATACAAAGAAGAATATTCTTCCGGGTGTTTTTTGCACTTAATTATTCTGTGGCTCCCTCTCTCACATTTTAATGGTTTAAACCATTCAAATGTCAGAACATCCAGCTCATTAAAGGGGTTAGGACTTTGACTTTTGCTAGTTGTTACAGTTTGATTTTATTTAAATAATCACTGTAAAAACGTATAACCTCTGAAATAATCGGACAATCCTTGATTTATAGGCAGAGACTTTCTGCACCGCAAGCATGCACCCCTGCATGCTTAGCTCTTTATAAACTAGGCACAATAAGGGCTGGTAAAAGGAGCTCTAGCTCAACAACTTTCACACGATTCTTGTGTGCAAGGGGCTCTGCTTCAAACACGAGGGTTGGCCAATTTGCCATTTGTCAGTGTTGCATGTGTAAGGAAAAACATGCACGCTTTCCCTGTTTCCCTGATCCAGCACATCCCATCTGATTGAAGGGGTCTTCATTAAACTTGGAAGTTTGCGTTCTTTTAAAACATCAAAAACGGAGGGACAAACCTTCATGTATGACATTTTTTTTTAGAAGTGCTTCTCTAGCCATTTTACTACTTCACACACGCATGTGTAGTGACTTTTTGCATGGCTAATGACCTCCACACTTCGTGCAATAGTCCCTGGTGATCGATGGGCCTTCAGTTGTGGTGCAGCATAAACTCTGCCCACACATTAAGGTTTGTCCAATCCTTTTACAGCTCTGGACATGTTTAGTGGCTGTCTCAGGGACAAGGTGGAATATTGCCTTTAAAAGACACTTGATAAATGTTTATCACGAGTTTCAAAATGGATATTGACACTGAAGTACTTATTTTTTAAGCATTAAAACAATGAGACAACCCATGATTTGTAAGTGGAAACTGGTTAAACAATGACTGAGTGCTCTGGTGTAGATATTCAATCAGCGCTTATTCGCTTATGGTTAGTCATTCTTGTGTGGTTCTTGATGGCAACAAGCACATCCAAACATCTTAAATACTTTAATGTTGATAATGAAAGCTGTAATAAACAGAAGTAATAAAATCAGAGAAGATGATAACATAAAAAGGTTACTACAAAGCGATAAATTAAAGTGATAAACTTTGACACTAAAAGTGACTTTAAAAGCAGTTTTCTGCACAGGGACAGAACTTAGCCTGATGAAAGCAGCTAAGTGAGGGCTAGAAAGCATGCCAAAGACCCCAAGGTGTTTCCCTGCCCTCCAAACTCTCCAGATAACAATCTGAAGGGATCTGATAGCTTAGTAAACCCAACATAGGAAGATCCGCCATCCAACCGGCAGGACCCAAAGGATCCTTTAAATTCCCGTTCTAAAGGTGTTTCAGGACACCTTCAGATGTTCTTAGCTCGCATCTTGACTGATCAGAGTGTTTTGGTCGTCGTATTGTATCGTAATTTTATGGCTGAAGACAACAGTGACCAATAATGGCAAACTTTAAAGAGAGGTTATGTAATGCTGCAACATGTGTTTAAAAAAAATTACCATGTTAAATTTTAAATTCTTCCTAATTTAACAAATGTAAAAAAGTTGAATTTTTTATTTAATAACTTTACGTGGTTAAATTTTATTCCAATCAGGTACCCTTTAGCTGGAGACAGAGAGGAAACAGGAACATTTTTCTTTAATAATTCAGCTGGATTTGAGAGGTTAAATCGAGAGAAGCAAACAGATGCTGCTGGTTGAGAGAAGGCAAAGTGTACATGCTTAATCTCATGAGGTGATGTAATCAACCCGAATTATTGATAAAAGTAGTGTGTACTGTACACTTTATAAAGCCAATAAGATGTAGAATATTATGCTGCCAGTTTTACCTTTTTAGATAAATGTTCACAAGTCAATAAAACCCCATTCCTCAGCAGTTCTACGGAGCAGGCAAATTCTGACAGTTTCTAATGAGGTGGATGGCAGTTCTGTACTCCAGGTCTATACTTCAGGTCATCGGTGCTTTTTCTCGCCCACATACTAAATGATAGCCAGCATCCCAAAATAGTTGCAGCGCTTCAACCACCCTGTGTATTTCATTTTTAGTTTCATTAAATAAAAATAGCGACAAATTATGTTTCTTTCCTTCAAACAACAAATCTTCCTTCTCCTCAGAAATCAGCCCCTTCCTTTGAAATATTCTCAGACACAGAGCAAAAAGACAGGCCCTTTACGAAAACAAAGACAGTTTTTAATGTAATTATTCAGTTTCCGGCACAGTTCCCTCCCCCCCAGAGTTCTCTATGGATAGCCTTCCTTCTGTGTTCACTATCTGGCTTCTGTCTTCATTTTTTTCCTAACCTCCTGACTTTTTTTTAATAAATGTTTAAATATATCCCTGCAGCTTTGGTGTAATTACTGTGCAGCCGCAGCTTAGGTCTCTTGGGAAGGAAAGGGGAGAGAGAAAAACTATGTGCTCAGAAAGAGGAGTGAGCTCTTCATACTAAGTGACGCAGTACAGGTTAGAGATCCTTGCAGTCGGACAGCTGACAAAATTAAGATACTGTAGGTAAAAGGGAATGATTTTATTCAACAGAATGAGAGCGTTAGCTGACAGGGCTTGTCCTTCAGCCAGTCCTTACATAAGGGTTTTTCTCTGTGCATCTGTGTCTGCATGCTGCTGTGAATATGTATTTTATATTTCCCGATACATTTGTGCTACAGGAGGACAGCTCGTGAAAAACTAGCTGCTTAACACAGATCTCTCAGTGTGTGCATCTCCAGACAGGAAACATTCTCTTTCTGACATGTTCTCAGGTTGAATTAATCAACATATAAATGGCAGAAATATAGTTTTTTACCATCCTGGCCTTGTATTAACCACCATGTCTTTTGCTATTAATGGTGCAGACCTAACTGGCAGCAGAGCAGATGAAAGGCTTTAAAGCTACTACAACCTTAGTATGAATGGACGTGCAGGATTAAAATCACCATGGTTACACAGAATCTTTTGAGCATAATTACAGTTACTTTGACTAAATGTCTGTCAATTATCAAGATGGCAATAAAATGAGGGGAAAAAAACAAAACAAAACTTCTAAATCTGACACCAAAACCCCAAACAAGAACACTTCCAAAGACAAACTCTAGGGATCAGAACCTCCTCACTTGCTGTCACTCCTGTGTGTGACTGACTGTGTGGAAGTGGAGATTAGGAACCTCTCTCTTTTTTCAAAAGCTCCCTTGGTCGACTCAGACCAATCTGAGCTGCCTATCCTTCGAAGTTCAGTCAAAGAACAAACCCCCCCTCACCCCCCCTTTTCCTCTTACATCACTGGTGCAGACATTATACAGAGAGACAGCTAATTAATCGCCATCAACTTGGCTGCTCGCTGCTCTCTCCCTCAGCAGCAGAGATGGGAGGGGTACAGTACAGTGGCAGCAGAAAATATGAACTGCATTCTCACTGAGCGCAGACCGGTCGGTGGCAGGGAGGCACCCTCATCGCAGTCAGAGCCACAAACCATGATGACATTTTTTCTAAACGCTTTTTTTCGCTTTTACCTGGATGACTGACTTTTTTAAGGACGGATGCGTTTGTTTCGGACAGTTATCAACAGCAGGTCATCTAAACAACCTGGAAATTGCTGGACGAAGTCTCCTGCAACATCTCAGGAAGAGGAAGATGCTAATTGGGATGTGTCTGATATTCTGGATTTGAAATTGTTTGAAGTGCTTTTCTATGTCTGAAGGCGTGCTCTATTTGGTAATATATTTTATTTAGATTGAGCAGAAGCTCAAAGGACATGTGCTCAGTTGAAGCAGATAACTTTTAAATGAGGCAGCTGGGACACTCTGTGGTTTCAGAGCAAAAGTTATGGCAGGGGAAAGATCTGAAGGCTCCCTTTGCAATCATACGTTTGTGGGACTTTGTGGAGTTTCCAAAGGCTTCTAGAGGGAACTTTAGCATACTCTTTGTGGCCGTGTATTTTGGGAGGTGGTCAGTATTTGCTTCACATCATCAATTTTGGAACTGAGGCACGATGTTCATGTCTGTGTGGTATGCCAAAAAGATGGGCTGCCGATTCCTCAACAATGTTCGGAGAGCCAAGAAGTATCGACGTCACAAGACGGTAGGCAGGTTTTACAGACCTTCAAGTAACTTATTTGATCATGTTTTACCACTTCAATACATGTTGAAAACTCACTGTGGTAATATGACTTTGTGTTGGAGTATCGGCTCTGATACAGATCTCAGATCAAGCCCATGGCTGTTGTTTTAAAAATAGCTAGCTGAGAGGAGTTAATGTGGGAATGGATATAAAAACCCTTCTCTGACTGCGTGATTGTTCTTTCAGTGGTACTATTTTAGGAACACATACAGATGTTATTGAATGAGAGGCCAATAATTTAGCAATTTGCCTAGTGTGGCACTTGAGATTTACTCATTGCATCTTTTACCAAAGCTCACACAAAATCAGCAGAAATTAAACCATAATCTCTCCGACTAGAGTCTTAAAGCGACTAATTACTGTGAAACACACAGGTCTTGATTTCTCGTCTCCACCATTGGCTTTCACAGCTCAATCTGCTGTTAGATAGTGGCCTGAGACAGAGTAGTGGCTCAGACAAACCCCAAATAAGCACATTTGTCCAGTGGCAAAACACAGTCTGCCATGGTGTATTTAAGACAAGGTCACCGTCTTACATAACAGACATCTTTTGCATCTTACAGTGAGTAAAAAAGGAGAAAATGACAACCTTTTTAATGCAACGCCTGCTTTGCATCTTCTGCCGGCTCACAACTTTCGTGATCCCTCCTGATTATCCTGAAAATGTCCATGCGCCTTTAATCTCAACAGAGCCGTTTTGAACGCCCCCATGGAAAATTGAACCTCAACACGTGAAGTATTGCTCCGGCCTTTTTGGTTTGTTTTATTTGTGCGGATTCCAGATTTAAGCTTGCAGTGTGTAAATCTATTAGGGCCTGGGTGTGGAGGAACAGCGGTGCGGCCTGTGGAGACACGCCAGAGGACAGCTTGGCTGAATAGGTGGTGCTAAAATATAGGTGGGCAAGTGCAGCCAAATACTGTAAATCCTTCCAGCCCTGATGTTGAAAGACTTCACAGTGCAGGGAGTGGGAGCGAAGGCTCTGTCAAAGTCCCTGCAGGGAAAGTGTCTGCACGAGGCTTAGATTTCTGCTGGCTATACTCATTATTTCTCTCTCCAGATAAGGATGTATTTGACATAGTGTTCAGCAACACCACAAATTGGACACAGCTACGCTTTGAGGCTCTGCACAGGAACTGTTACAATCGAACAGGCGCCAGTCAAAGCTCTCTGGCATCTTGTGGCACGGGGACAGCAGCTTCCGCGTTCCGACGGTGGATGGACTTTATCGTTTCACAGCGAGGGTGGCGATTTCCTCCAACAAAGGGAGCTCGGAGCGCAGGACTGCGGCCGTGCATAGTGGAGGAGGCCCCGCCGGTGATTTGTGAGGCAATAACTTCTGGCATCCAACTGCGGCTGTCCTTTTCCTTCAGTGAAAAATGGTCACTCAATTTTGGCAAGGGCCAAATTGTGATGGCTGCTCGGAGACGCTGGGATGGGCTGTCACTGCTGCGATTGTACTATAAGCGGTCAAAGGAAGGGCATCGGCTCGACCAGCGCCAGGGCCTTTTTTCACACAGAGATTAAGATAATGTGATGCCGTGCTGGGAAACTTTGAACCATTTCCTTCTTGTTGATGTCACTAAAGATCTTACAGTTTATTTTCCCATTGCTGCAGCTCACAAAGATGTCTCTATGACAAGAGCGTCCTTTGATGACAGCAGCAGTTCAGCCAGATAAGAATTCATCAAGATAACTTTCAAGAATTTAATATTAAGTCAATATGATCTGTGGAAAATTATTTAAATGAAAAAGAAACATGGAGGAAACCGTCATGGCTTATGAAGGATCTTGGTGCTTGATGCCTTCGAATCTGGTGGAGTTGGAGTGATTTATATTATGAGTTTCTGATCCGGATCTGTCAAAGCCGTAAATGCAGCATAATGATTCTGGAATAGCTTAAAACAGGTGCTGCCTTTCACAACTGGCTCTCTTTTATTGAGCAGCTCAGAGATGAGGTGGGGAAAGCGAGGGGATACGTATGAAGCGTACCCAATGATTTGAGGGTTCAACGTTTTTTTTTTTGCAGCAGGAGAAGTAACCCAATATTAGGCAGGTTATAATGCTATATTTTATCAGGGTGAGTCAACAAAGAGGGTTTCCCTCTCTTATTTAATGAAAATAGCTTCCATACACATCTTCTCTCTTATCTGCATCAAACCCTCTTTTGAATTAATCCATTCAAGGGTACACAGGAAGGGTAAGGCATGTTTTAACTCCTTTGTTTGAGTACAAGTCATAAAAACATGATCTAGCACTAGTACTGGCAGGACACTAAAAATAATCGGAAATTTATATATGCTCATCTGAGTTTGGGTCATCTTAAAGTGGTAAATCAGACTCCCAAGGTATCCTGCATCTACCCGAAGGTTAGCCCACACTCTGCCAAATGCAAAACTGCTGAGGCCACACTTACTTAGTACAGACTGAACTAGTTATGCCACAGTCTATCTCAGACATAAAATGTCAAACTGGACCCGTATTTTCTGCCTGCTCAGAATGGACGTATTGGAGGGGGGAGTTCCATTTTACAGCAGAGAATTTACCTTTTTTTTCTATTTTCTCCACTTGCTATGCTCCTCAGTTGGGGAGATGCTGCTCGACCCACTTATGAACAACAGTTTGTGGACATAGTGTTCCCCATGAGAGTGCAAAAACTATCTTACGACATACTTTTTGCTTTTTAATATTTCTATTCAGTGCATTTTGCAAAGACCGTCAGTTGTCATGTCGTCTTTGTTGATTCTGCCGTCTGCTGTCAGTTGGCACATTTAGGTCTGTATTTTGGATCAGAAATGCAGTGATAGAAGTGTGTAAGCGACAGAAGCGGGGCACAGTGGACAGAAAGCAAATGGGGTCCGTTTATAAGTTTGCTACATTTAGCAGTGAGTGCTTTTTCTTTGTTTTTTTTAATTTTTACTGACAGAAAAGTGCTGAAAGGTTCTGAAAAGATGTCTAAAAGTTGCCGGCCCTTCTTGGGAACAGGAGCAGGCTCCCTGCCTCCTGCCAGCATCTTGAACCAGTGACTCTCCATTAAGCGGATAGGGGCTGAAGCACTGTGTCGTGTTTGTGAAGAACAGCAGGAGAAGCTGGATGGAAACCCTGCATGCAGCTTCAGACTCGTGCATTTGACTTTTTTCAATTCTAAAAAATAAATAGAATAAGAAAAACCACCTGAGCAATACATTTAGAGTTGTTACCTCTGGTGAACACAGATATTACTTTTTCTTTTATGTCGTCCTGTGACACGGCCTCTCCTCTGGGAGGGGAAGCTTTACTACCCAGTTTTGGTTTAGCTTAATCACAGCACTGATTTAATTAGCTTCTTTGCGTGTTTTCTTTTTTTTCATCACTAATTCTGGTATGAAAATGGCTTTATTGAGCCTGAATAGAACACTGCTCTCTGAAAAAAACGAGTCCAGAGTGGCGGTGTTGTTGCTTGAGTGTGTCAGAGCTGTCGGGTCTGTGAAGGTCAGCGGGCTGATTTCATACTGCTCTTTGCTGTTGTAAGCACATTAGATGCATTGTGTCTTTCTCATGCTAATCAGCGTGGTGAAGAGCAGAGCGTGCTCTCTAAAGAGCAGTGCTCGCAGCCCCGTATTGACATCTTCCAGCTTCAGTTACCTTGATGACAGAAAACAAATTCTGAAAAGAAGTTTGAACAAATGAGAAAGAGGAGGATGACTAAGGCCGGTGCGTAGCGTCTTTTCAGTATGCCGGTGCGCATGGGTCCTCGCATTCTATGCCTGGCCGGAAAATATAAAGCATTTTCCAGAAGAAACAGTGGCCCCTGGAAAAGCTAAGAGCAATGACACGAGTGTACCCGTCCTCACATTTCCTCCCCTCGCCCTCACTGGGAGGAACTGTGAGTGAGGGACGTGAGCATAATGAAAAGCAGCCTGACATGAATAAGCTGGCAGAGGAATTCTTGGCAAGTAAACCTGAATAATTCAATACCAAAAATCCCGTCCTCTCTCTGACTTTCTGTCTTTTTCTATTATTTTTTGTAACACTTAGCTTCTGATTAATAAGTTTTGCAAACGTTGAAATCCGGTCTGGCTTCACTTTTAGTCAAATTGGATGCAGCAGTGTGATTCTGGACCGAATTCTGAGAAAATAAATCCCCATCGAGTCATGGCACTCACTGGTGATAGCTGGACTAATAATTCAGCTTGTCATTATCATGTTACCAAGTTTGTGTGTATTTTTCATTGGAGCGAGCTGGTGAATTGCCACCACATGTCAGTGGGGCTGAATAATAATTTACTAAGAGGTTTTGTAACAGCTGGTGGGCAGGGGGCGGACGTCTACATGCACAGTATTCATGAGCTGGTCATTTGTAGCACTAATAATACAAACTATACTCTAATTAAAGTTGAAGCTGACGGAAAATACAACAACAGCCAAGAGTCTGCAAAAGCAGCACAAATTATTTTGTGTCCATTACGGTTGGATGACAAGTAATGGCTCTGGAGTAGTGCTCTTTATCCTTTAGCGGGGTGACAAGTAAAGCTGAGTGAGACTCTGTTATCACAGTTAAGAGCTAAAATTACCATCAGTCTTGGCTTTGGTTCAAGCTTTCATCCTTAAGATTTGCGTTTTGGACATTTTGTCTTAATGTCTTTTTCTCTCTGCTTCCAGGGAAATACTCCTCCGGTGGTAGTGAACACTGACACGCTCGATGGCTCCCCATACGTAAGGATCAACTTTAATCCTCCTCTTCTGGCGTAATTACAGGATACCTTTAAAAAGAAGTCTGTATTATCAGCCCGATACCAATTCCTCCCTTAGTAACCAGCTCTTGTTCGTATGGCAACAGGTGTCACTTTTACTCATTTCTAATTCAACTAGTTTGATTTACACACAGGAGGAACATTCCACGAGATGACGCATTTCTAAAGGCCAAAGTGCTGAACACATTATCAAAGCTGTGTGGGAAGAGAGAATGAGGCTTTGTGGTGAAAGCCAGCCATCACAGTGCTATGTTTTAGCACCACTACGGCACTAAAAATAGCTGCTTTCTGGGTCAGACACCAACAGTTTGAAGTACCTTAATTTTTTTTCTTCCTGTGTGCATCCCTAAACTGCAGAGGTCAGCTCAATATGTATAGCTAAGCTGTTCATCAAGTGGGCAGGTTAGGCTAAAACTGTGACACCTAAGATCAATTAACCCGGCTGGTAAATGCCAACAAAAAAAAAGAGTTAAGTTCCAGTTAAGACTTCTCAAGTTTTATTCTCTTAAACCCCTGAAATCAGCTATTAAAATAAATGTGCTCCTGGTGGTTTGGCTAACCTCTTACTCTGACAGGTGAATGGGACAGAAGGAGAAATCGAGTATGAAGAGATCACGCTGGAAAGAGTGAGTCTGAGGAGCTATTTAAACAGCATGTGCTAACATCCATTTATGCATTGCAGTTTCTGTCACACGTCCCTGAAGAAGCCACGAGGTGGCCCAGACGTGATAAATAATAACTGTGTTTTGCTTCTGTTTGCTGCTGCAGGGTAACTCAGGCCTGGGCTTCAGCATAGCGGGGGGAACAGACAACCCCCATGTGGGCGACGATCCCAGCATCTTCATCACCAAAATCATACCAGGAGGCGCTGCAGCTCAGGATGGGAGGCTGAGGTAAAATTTTAAAAAAGAAAACCCCACTGAGTGATAAGTAACAAAGCAACTAGAAAAAATGAAATCCAGAAAAATCTGATAAATCTTTCTCAGTCTGTTTTATTTTCTGCTTGTCCAAATGGAAGAAGGTTTCTTTTCTCCTGTGTCTTACACTGTTTCATGGATTTTTCTGCAATAAATAAGACATGCACGGAGGCGATCTGTTCTTTACAGCTGACCTAAAAATGTCCATCTAGAATGACTGTTTTAAGCAAAAAATGCTTGCATTGGCCTGGACTGCTTTCTTGGCCTTTATCATATGCTATAAGCAAAATATCTCATATATATAAGGAAAATGCTCCGATCTGTACAATTTTACAAACTATATTAAAATGGATTAAGACCTACAATGCTTGGGAAAATTTATTTTACATTTATTTTATAAATATTGCTAAAAGCCATCTGCAGTCCCTGTTAGATCATTTAGAAAAACGCGTAAAGGAGCTTTCTGTCGAGATTATACGTTCACATCTATAGTTTTAATAACTATGATAATTGGTTAACAATGCATGTCTTTGAACAAGAAAGAGGTTCTGAAGTTCCGAGGTGGAGGTTTAATGATGTGCCACAGATGTTGGATGGCAGCTTCCCTTTGGAATTAACAATGTGTTTCTGAGGTTAAAATGTCAGTGGCCTTTGCCAGTTATCTCCCCTGGAGTTTCTTTCATTTCCATTTCCATGACCATAAAATATATTTGAATGCATGAAAACTAATTTGAGTGTCTTTTGTTATGTAGCTATCTGTATTGAAAAAAAAGGACAGATGCCTATGAACAGGAGATTTACTGTTTCTGACCGATGGTGCAAGATAACACCCAATTTCCTTAACTACAACAACAACTCGGGCTGTATTTTGCCTTTCCCGCCCACAGTCTCTCTCCTATGTCTCTGTTTCTCTTAGTGTGAACGACTGCATCCTGTTTGTGAATGATGTGGATGTGAGGGAGGTGACACACAGCCAAGCTGTAGAGGCTCTAAAGGAGGCAGGTGCTATTGTCCGCCTCTATGTTCTTCGCAGAAAGCCAGCAGCAGAAAAAGTCACTGAAATCAAACTAATCAAAGGGCCCAAAGGTATGTCGAAGTGTGTGCTGGTGCACAGCCTCCGTCCTTTTGTGTGAGCTCACTGTTGCCTTGTACCCAGCTAAGCTCTGCCCTCTGGATTTAGCAAATCTGCTCCGTGTTAACCAGGCGCCTCCTTTGCTCACTCTCAGCTTCTCTCATCTCTTCCTTTTCACAGGATTAGGTTTCAGCATTGCTGGAGGGGTGGGAAACCAGCACATACCAGGAGATAACAGCATCTACGTTACCAAGATCATTGAAGGAGGGGCAGCTCATAAAGATGGGCGACTGCAGATCGGGGACAAGATCTTAGCGGTCGGTCACTCAGATGTAATAAGCACTCCACTGCAGATAAAAGCGCCCACACACGTGCGTGTCAGCAGCAGCCAGAGACTTTCACTTTTAAAGCACACGGACTCATTTTCACACATTAACACCCTTCACATACGCCGCATCCATGCAACAATGATGCATCAAGAGCCAATATAATTACAGCTGTAATTCTCATGGTCTGACATTACTTTCATTAACAGGTTAATATGTGTGAAGGATGGATTAGATATTGAAGTGTTGCCACTGTGGTTCCCAAGAGGCTTTACTGCCATCTGCTGGTCGATAGCAGAACCCCACAGCAGCTACCTCAAAATGGTGCTTGATATTCACTAAATGGTGTCTGGATCAAGGTTTTCCCTTCAAATGGAACATGTCACGATCTCTTATTTGAAAGGAAGTCTGTTTGAAAGTTTATATATATCAATAATCTTGAGGCATGATAACGTTATAGTGGGATTTAGCGAGCTCTCTTCATGTTCCAATCCAAATTGAACTACTAGTTTCAGTTTTTGAATTTGTGTTGTTTAAATGGGAACATCCAAGTTTGATATTCCGTTTTACCTGAGGTAATAATTAGGGATCAATCACTATCCCTAATACCTTTTCTGATGTATTTTATCATTCTATGTATAGAGAGAAAGTTAATTACAATTAAAAACAGCTCTTTACTCCTTTAAAATGCTCGTTTAGTGAAAAAGTTTTTAGTCTGAACTGTTCTGTTATAGATTTTTTCGATTAAGTTATAGATTTGTTAAGCATCACTCAAGTTGGTGTTTTTTGTGCTTGTCATGATCAGGTGAACCACGTCTGTCTGGAGGATGTGATGCACGAGGACGCAGTGGGGGCACTGAAGAACACAGCCGAGGTGGTGTACCTCAGGGTGGCCAAACCAAACAACCTGTTCCTGACAAACTCCTACAACCCTCCAGACCTCACGAGCAGTAAGCCTCTACTGAGATTTTAAGATATGTCGACTAGAATGGTTTCTTTAAATGTTGGTCTATATGACCAAAGATCAAGGAAAATATGTATTTTTCTTCTAATCCAATCAAGGTTACTGTGAGAGCACTGTGAAAACCGAGAGCTAAAATACAAAGGTTCGGGGATGGGTTTTTTCCTGTTTCCCTGTTAACCTGAATCTGCCTCTTGATGAATGTCTTCCCATGTTTAGTAAAAAGAATGAGTATGACCCTATTTCCACATTTGGATTTCATTACATACTCATACAGATTTTATAATACTGAACAGAAGGAGCCCATTAACTCAAAAGATAAGCAACGTGATTAGAAATGTGAGCAAAATTGAGGTATCGCTTATTTCCGTACAGCACAGCCCAGGAATGTGACACCCCTTTTGCTCTCTTGTGCTTTTTTTGTTTTCCAGCATATTCCCACATGGATACTGAACTCAGCCACCCGAACTACCTTGGATCAGATTACCCACAAGCCCTCACTCCCACCTCACCCAGTCGGTTTTCTCCGGTTCTGCACGGCATGATGGGAGATGATGACATCCCCAGGTTAGCAGTCATCCTTTAGTCGACATTTCTGCAGCCTAAAACCTTTTTTAGCCGTGTCACTGGTACTCAGAGTCACGGCAGAGGTTTTAGTGTTAGTGGTATTATTCAGCTTTACTTTGTCTTTTGGGTTTGCATTATTAATGACATCGACTCAGTTTTTTCTTCTCCAATCTTCCCAGAGAGCCTCGCCGGGTTTTGATCCACCGAGGATCCACGGGCCTGGGATTCAACATTGTTGGAGGCGAAGACGGAGAGGGGATATTTATCTCCTTCATACTGGCAGGTGGACCAGCTGACCTCAGTGGAGAGCTTCACAAGGGCGATCAGATCCTCAGTGTAAGTTTTCTCATCAGAAATCTGGCATGCAGAGACCCACACTCATATCTCAGTTTGGCACACTGGGATTTTTGTTATAGACACTCTTGCTATGTGTGTGTGTGTATCAGGTAAATGGCGTGGATCTGCGTATGGCCACACATGAACAGGCCGCTGCGGCATTGAAGAACGCTGGCCAGACTGTAACCATCATCGCTCAGTATAGACCCGATGGTAAGGCCACAAGCTCTCACTCACAATAACCAATTACAACATCACACAGATTTACAGTACCAGTGGATACGGGGTAGAGAATAGTCTGGCCCACAAAGACTGCAATAACATGAACATTTTTAAATGGAGATGCTTTTAGATGGGAGAATGTGCAGCTCTTTATGTATTTGTGTTTTCTCTGTTGCAGAGTACAGTCGTTTTGAGGCTAAAATCCATGACCTGAGGGAACAGCTTATGAACAGCAGCATGGGCTCTGGCACCACAACGCTACGGAGTAACCCAAAGAGAGGCTTCTACATCAGGTCCGAACACTAATCACAAGTAGATGTGGTTGCTTTTCATGCGCAATTTGGAATTGTTCCAAGATGAGCATTTCAGATTGATATCAACAAAGCATTTTCAGCCTTAATCCATTTGAATCAATTGCACAGACACAATGTAAAATATTCGACTTTACCCAAAATGGGTGAATATTGGCTAAAACATCCCAAAATAAGCAATAAAGATAATGTTAAATGAAAGAAAAACAATTAGGAGAAGTAAATATTCTGTTTCGTAACCATATGACAGTGGGCAGGGTAAAAGAGAAGTGGCTCTTCCTTTTAGGTGAGTGTTTTCTCTGATTTCCCACATGGAGAACTCTTCATTTGGTCGAAGTGTGACCAGTCCGTATGGAGGTCATTTATAATTGTATGTGAATATTTTCCCTAATATGTCTCATGAAATACTGAGTTCCTATGTTCACATGTTCATTTCTAAGACTTCAAGATATGAGGAGACGTCGTTGTTTTATTTTCCCTCCAGAACTGGAGCCATTTTCATCTAATTGCAGCTGTGCTCGTCAATCCTTTTCTCCGTTACATTTGCACAGGGTCTTTGTTGATATTGTCAGCTGTTTGAAGTAGAATTAATACGCTTCGCACGCTCCAGCGAAGCCGCCATTACATAACAAACATTTGCTGCTGAACAAGAAACATCTCAGAGTTGCGGAACACATGTAATGGAAACAAACGCTGAAGCTTCCAAGACATAATTGATCACGTTTGACGATGGTTCGCGAAGTACTTAAAGTTCACAGCGTATGCTGTGTGATTTGTAGCTCTTAATTAACTGATGTGTGTCAGAGACGTTCACTGCTGCCTCCAGCGGCTGTAACAGAAATCACTGCTGTGCGTGGTTTCTGCTTCTGATAACCACGGAATCACGAAATGCGACCGAGTGTAGGCAATGTGGTCTACATTCCCTACACTCGATTAACTTAACAGCTGCTTCTCACATCCATACTGTTTTTTTTAGCCAGCTTAAATTGTTTGAAAAAACAGTCAATTTTAGTCTGGGTGGAAAAAATCCTCTCAAAGCAAGAATGAATACACTTTGAAGCATGTCTGTTGAATGTAGGTTGATGTCTTTTTAATAAATGGCTGCCTTATTGTTCCACCACACAGGGCTCTTTTCGACTATGACAAGACTGCGGACTGTGGCTTCCTCAGTCAGGCCCTGGGCTTTAAGTTTGGGGACGTGCTGCATGTGCTGGACTGTGGGGACGAGGAGTGGTGGCAGGCCCGTAAGGTCAGCCTGCAGAATGAAGCCGAAGAGGTTGGGTTTATCCCCAGCAAACACAGGTCAGGCACAGTTTTCTAAACTTCAAATATGTACTAGGGTGTGATTTATATTTTATCGTATCTTATTTTTGTTGCTGAAAAAATGTGCATATAATTATAATTAAAACTAACAAAATTTCATCTGCGACAAGAATTTGTTGACTATTGCTTGATCATGTAAACCTATGCATGTGTAAATATAACCTTTTTGTTTTGTTCTGTTAATTCTTGCCATCTGCACAGGGTGGAAAGAAAAGAGTGGTCTCGTGGAAACACCAAAGAGAGGGTATGTTTATCTATTAAAACTATTAAAATTAGGTTCCTTCTTCTGAAGCTTTTCTCACACATCAATCATGTGTTTTATCTCATCTCCATTACAGGACCATGGTCGAGACAGCTTGAGCACTCAAGGTAATTAATGTGAACATAAACTCTCTATATTGACACTGAAATCCACATTTTTTCTGACTTCAACAGATTACTGCACTGACCCTGATGTAGAGCCTACACCATGTAAGCTGGATGTAAACTCAAAAAATACTGTGGCAACAAAAAAAAAACTATTAGAAAGCATATCATATTTTCAGAAAACACAACAAAACAGAAAATGCAACTTTCATAAGCAATCTAGATTTCGGAAAGCGGAAATCTCTCAATTTGTAACAGGGGGCTGCTCGGTGGTGTGGGGGTTAGTACCATCATAGCACTAACAGCAAAAGAGTCTAAGGGTCAAATCCACAGGGATTGTGCATTTGTACGCATGGGTTCCCTTCGGGTACTTCAGCTCCGTCCTACAGTCCCAAAATATCCACGTAAGGTTAATTGGGTAAGCTTAATTGCCCCTAAGAGGGAACGTTAATGTGTTGTAGTTTGTTTCTACATGGTTCTGTGCTGGACTGGTAACTTTTCTAGTGACAGCTGGGATATGCTCAAGCCACACACCCCTGCAACCCAATTGGGAATAAGCAATTTATACGATGGATATATTTTCTTTATAGGTGTCAATCTACCCTCAAAGACAAAAACATATCACTGAACTCCAAAGCCCAAATACAAGCTGCAATCACTGATTTATTCCTACAGAGTTTACTGAACCGAAGTCTTACATCACCTCTGACTGTCATTTATATATTTATAGTTTTCAGAGCTGACATTTGATTAGCTGGCCACCCACACCTCAGACATAAACAGCACCACAGTCTTTACAGATGTTCTGGACATCCAGACGTTAACTTGAATTTATGGTTGAAATGTGAAAAGACGTGTGCCTGAATAGGTCTGTGTTCTTCTCCAGGGAGGGATAAAACCTCACACAGTTATGAGATAGTGACGCAAGTGGAAGGTAAGACCACACAAAACAATGTCAGAAAATCCAAAAATGAACAGATATATATTTTATCTTTTGTGATTAACCCTGCTCTCTGTCTTCTTGCCTTTTCCTCTTTCTTTTCAATAAGTACATTATGCGAGACCCATCATCATTCTGGGTCCTGTGAAAGACAGGATAAATGATGACCTGTTGTCTGAGTTTCCTGATAAGTTTGGATCCTGTGTCCCTCGTGAGTAATTATGTTGTCACTCATAGAGACTGATCTGTTCTCTGGTTTTAATTTGATGTAACTGCTGCCACCTGCAGCAATTTTGCTGCGATGTCTACCCAGAAGTGATTGCTTAACAATTCACACCGGCGCGAGCATACGCACTGTTTTTATTGCTGTGTTCTTCATTTGACAGACACCACGCGGCCCAAGAGGGAGTATGAGGTGGATGGGCGAGACTATCATTTCGTATCGTCGCGGGAACAGATGGAGAAGGACATCCAGAGCCATCGATTCATCGAGGCCGGCCAGTACAACAGTCATTTGTACGGCACCAGTGTCCAGAGCGTCCGTGAGGTGGCTGAGCAAGTGCGTAACAACATTCTCCATCAGAATATATTGGCCATGATAAACTTCCCTCCATCATAGAAGTTGGAAAGGTTACCTCCTACCTCAAAAACCTGCCTTTGTTATTCTTACTATATAAAGCAAGAGCAAAAACATGATTAGTATTATGTTTTATATTATGTTTTATATTGTTTTTTTTAGTATTGATCCTATAATATGATATCACTTCTGTATAAAGTTGTTCATTTCTCCACAGATAAGTAATAAGCTGTAACTTATTGTTGCTTATTGCCTAATTAAGTCGCAGTTTTATTTTCACGGTGAAACAACAATATTTCTACTTTTTTAATTGGCATAATTTCTATCCTTGCATGTGCGGATGAGCAGCAGGGGAAACACTGCATCCTGGATGTGTCTGCCAACGCCGTACGCAGGCTACAAGCAGCCCAGCTTCATCCAATTGCCATCTTTGTCCGTCCCAAGTCACTGGAGAATGTTCTGTAAGTATATATAGAAAAAAAACGAGCATCATCTAACTAGATATAAATATTCGCTCAGCAGACACAGATATTCTTTACATGATGGAAACGGGAGACTGTAATGCAGATTCTTTGTGTGACGTTACAGAGAAATTAACACTCGCCTGACAGAGGAGCAGGCCAGGAAAGGAATGGACCGAGCCCTCAAACTAGAGCAAGACTTCCTAGAGTGTTTTTCCGGTAAGAGCGCCCAGATGTTGTGTTAATGCAGAGTGTAATCCAGAACAGAGGGTCTTGAGTTAGTTATGTGCCTCATACACATTCTTTTAAATGTTTAGTTTAAAAAAAAAAAAAAAAAACGAATGGTATAACGAACTAAATGAGTTTTAACTGATTGTAGATAGCCATATGTACCTGTCTCTTCTTATATCACAGTCAGATTGTTTGCCCATTGTAGGACTAACGTAGAGAAAAAAACAGCTATGCATGCTCACGCCAACAAGCCAACAACAAACTAGAATCTCTTTAATTAGCTTTCCATAGATGTCTTCTCCCTTGCAGAAAGACATGCAAATTCAACCCATATGGTTCAAAGCCACAAACATTGTGTTGATGATTAACAGTGCAAAGCAAAACATCATGTGCTGCCCTTCCAAAATACACAAATGAGCCGAAAATGTCAGAAGTAGTCAGTGATAAATTTTAGGAGAATGATTCAACATGTCTGTGAGTGAAAAAGTTTGTAAACCTTTGCTTTCTGTGACTGACATGTGTACTTGGTCAGCAGCAACGGAAACTAAACATTTCAAGTAACTGTTGTTCTGTAATGCACACCAGCTTGAGGGGATTTTAGAGCCCGTTCTTTGGGGAAAAAAAAAAAAGACTGCTTCAACTTTGAGATCATGGTAGGTTTATTCAAACTGATTGCTACTTTAAGGTCTTTCCTCAAAATTTCCAGTGTATAGAGTTCAGGAAAAAAGTTCATGTTTCTAAAGCAATAACTTAATTTCTCTCTAAACATTCAGTCATAGAAGAAATTGCTCTGGGCATTTGTTTGATTGCCTGACCCTCTAGAGCAGGGGTGTCAAACTCATTTTCACTGAGGGCCACATCAGCGTATTGGCTGACCTTAAAGGGCCAGTTGTAACTTATAAATGTAACTAAATGTAATTGAATGTAATGTAAAAGAAATGTAACTACGCCTTAATGTTAAATAACTCATTATTTATCCAGTAGTTGAAAAGGCATTGTAGGAAATGTAGTTTCTGGTCAAAGCACGCTTTTAATTTTTTATTTTTTTTGGTATTCATTTTTAGACACTCAAAACTTTTAAGCTCTCACGGGCCACATAAAATGACATGGCGGGCCACATCTGGCCCGCGGGCCTTGAGTTTGACACATGTGCTCTAGAGTCATAGTTCAAAGACGCCCTGACATTTTCCTTTCAAACTGCCTGGTATGAGTCAGAATGATTCCTGCCATCAAGCTAAGCAGGCTCTAACTGTGTTTCACGTGTTGGAAAAAGCACATATTCAAATGGTGAAACACAGTATTCTTCTTTATTCAAAAGGTAAACAAAAGAAATATTTTACAGAGCAGTGGATTTACTGTTTCATCACCTACAATGCTTTATCCACAAATAGAGAAAATACAGAATAATCTACTTTCAACACAAATTATGGCAGCAGAAATGGTAACAATGAGCTCATACATTCACTGAAATGGGAAAACCGTTACGTACAGTCATGTGAAAATGACATCCCGTCATGTTTTATGGTTTAAAATATCAGGAGGTGCTAATTCTCAGGGGTGCAGTCTCAGATGTACGACAGCACATGACAAACCACACTGTGTCATCGTTATTGAACCCATTTTGAGCCAATATGCAGCAGCGGTGAGGGAAATAGCAGGCCCACCCGGGCTGCTTCTATGGGCACGACGAGAATTAGTGGCAGCCGATTAGCAGCTTCTAATCAAATGAACTTAATAAACTGATCATTAGAAATCGTGAGCACCTTTTCCAAAGCGGAAATTGATGCACTTTGTTAGTCTGAGGCATTTCAGGAATAAAGGGGAAAACACTGAAAATTAGCATAGAGAAACAATTGTTAGGGTTATGACGATTATTTACCAAAGGAACACATGAATCACAATTGCCAGTCTTGACAGGACCTGCCATGCAGAAGCTGCGAAAACCAATCTCTGAAACAACAGCCCTCAGCTAGCATATTAAGTGTGGTGGAGATTATACGATTTGGGCTTGTTTGTGCCTGTTTATGCTGTGGTGGGGCCTTAGCACAGCTGTGCATTAGCGAGGAATTATAAGTAAATTGAATAAGCTTGTAGAGACGAGTGGTTCAAAGTTCCTCATCAACTTGATAAAGAAAATGTATGAATTTAAAATGATTGTTGCTATCTGTGGTTCTTTGAATTTTTTTTTATCATGGGGTGTTTTTTGTATTTACAACTGTATTATTCTGCAGTTGTCTTTAGACATTACTTCATAGATAATCCAAGGTAGTATTTACCAAATATAAAAAGATTCAGTTGGTGATTTTTTTTATTTCTATTTATCTATTTAATCTTTTATTCAAACGAGGTCCTTACGCGTAAAAGCCAACAAAAGTGGACACTGAGCATTCTTTTCTTTATCACAATTTAATATTTCCCACTTAATCCGTCTTTGAGAAATTAGTTGTTCATATTTGTGTTGCTTGTGCCCTCCGTGACACTTTGAGAGCAAATCATTTTTACATTTCAGACTTTATCCCTTATTTGTTTTTTACTGTTTGATGCCAACACATACCAATAACAAAATAATCCTCCTCCTAATGATAAGCTTTCTCTGCAAACTGAAAGGGTTTAATGGGAAAAATCAATGCCTTTTGGGAGGACTCAGAGCATTCAAACATTTAAGAGATGCAATTAGGGCAAATCTCAGCAGTAGACAGAATGTGAATGCCAGGTTTCCTCCCAAATCTGGTTCTGTCAACAATCTCTAACAGCTGTGGTTTATTCTCTCAAACACTGAGAGGATGAATATGTGGGAGAGTGTGTGGAAATGCTTACACAAAGGAAATGCGCTTGTTCTTTGATGTATCATGAAAAATGTTCATAATTGATTATTCCCTACAATATCTAGAAAACATTTCTATAAACACCTATCCTTTCATCTGTCTCTTTTTGTCTTCCCACTCAACATTTCATTTCTGCCTCCTACGGACTCCCTTCTCTCTCTTTACTCACTGCTGTCTGTGCCATTTGCCCCTCGTTCCTCATCACCCCCCTCCCCCCCCCCCCCCCCCCACCTCACGCATGCTGTTTCCTGCTGCAGCTGTCGTGGAAGGGGACAGCTTTGAGGAGGTTTATCATAAAGTAAAGACAGTGATCGAGGAGCAATCGGGGCCTTACATCTGGATCCCCACTCGAGAGAGGCTGTGATGCTGCACCCCTCCGGCGACCCCCCCCCTCACAGCCACCGACCAACACCGCCCTTCACCCTCACAGCCAAGCCAGCCTCGCCTGCCTGTCCGTCCTCCAGCGCAGTCAGTGCTTAGGCCATCACTGCAAATGACACAGAGTCGAATGCGTACAAGACAGAGACAAACACGGGAAAGTGACACCGCGAGGCAAAGAAGGATACCAAAAAAAGAGACTCTGTGACAGATGCGAACACAGTGACGTGTAATTAACTGAGAGCGATGGCGAGCAAAGATCTAATCGGTATTCCACTTTGATGAAGCAGGACTAAATATTGAGGCCCTGTTCACACTTAGCATTAAAGTGCACCTCAGATACGAGCTGTTATTGCATCCAAAACCGAAGGCGCCGAGGCCCTAAACACTTTGGTGATGCTACATAACTTGAGTGTGTGTGTTTAGCACGTGTTTAGTTGCAGTTTCCCACCAATTTAATCTCCAATGAAGTGAAATCCAATCACGTGTGAAGCCATTTTGACTCCATTTTGACGCCAGATGTGAACTGCAGCCCATACCATCTGGATCTCAACACAGCCTAGATATAATGTGACAAGAGATACGGTCTGGACAGGGCTTGAAATAGGACAGAGGATGACCAAGAGGCTGTAAGACCACCTCTTGCTCTACCGATCTCAAGTCTCATGCCCCCCTCATGCCCCCTGAGATGAAGGTGCTCTAAAAGACACTGGCCCCCTTTTTATATTGCCTCCAAGCCCTCTGTTCTCCTCCTCCTCCTGTCTTTCAGGACAGGAACAGGGTAAGACTGAGAATGGGGAAGTGCCCAGATCCTGCTGAGTCCCCTATTGAAACTGAGCTTTTTCTCAGCCAAGACCCGTTTTCTTCTCTTGGTACCTGGCGTGACCTCAGAGTAGCACCTCAGTGACCAAGACCGGCATTTGTTCTGTCACCCATCTTGAATACTGCGAGGCATAATCTAAAGGCAGGTCAAATAATTCTAATGATAAAAACTCATTATGCTGACTTTGTGCATGCATCCTCAAGGACAATGAAGACAGGTGGTGGAAACGATGGAAAAGTCAGAGTAAAAAAAAAAGAAAAAAAAAAGGAATGTGAACAAAGATGAGTGAGATGTGTTTTCCTCTGTGTCCACCTCTTTTTTGTGAGGGAGTGTTTTAGCATGTCTCATAGAGGAAGAGGAGGAGAGAGAAAATGGCCATGAGAGGTTGGTCCCAAGCAAACTAGATACTCAAACTAGACACATGTAGTTATGCCTCTGCACACACAGACACGTTCACACCCGTCCAGTGACACACGCGGAGAGTTGTAACCTGAGCTGTACACCTGACTCTCTCCTTTTTTAGGGGGGGCCACTGGCTAGTGTGGCCAGTCGGTCAGAGTCCAGGATGAATGTTACCTGTCCAGGCACAAACAGCCGAGCTCTTAGCTTCAGCGCACCAACTCACCGGCCACTCTTCCGAATCCCCTCAGCCGCAGACGTACACACTGTTTCCGGTGGCCGCAGTTAAAAGCCATGCCGTGTGTGTATGTGTGTGCGTATTTCTGCACAATTGTGCACATTCATGTGTGGAAACTCCTCTGTGTGTGTGCGTGTGAGGGGGGGGGTGGGGCAATAGGTCTTCTTTTATTCTCTCTCTTCCACTTTTCTCTGCTTCTTTCTCCCTCTTGAATAAAATCACATAAAGATTTAACTGAGTCATGTTTAAAGAAAAAAAAAATCAATGGCCTATATATATAAATATATATATATAAATATATATCTTTTTTATGACAATTTCTAACGGGACTAAGTCTGTAAAAATCAACATTTCCAAACAATATTCCATGACTTTCTTTGGGTAATATTGCATTTTGGTTGTTGAATTTACTCACATTCCCATTTTATTGTTGTAAATCGGAGTAAAACGATACACAGGTAAAAAAAGAAACTCAACCATTCAAGCTGATGTAAAGAAGACCTCACACTAGAGCTTTGAACTGAAGTGTATGACAGGTTCCTGTTTAAAATCCAGTTAGAAAATACGTGCAATGCAGCTGTGTGTCTGTCTGATAGTGTGTGTGTGTGTATCGGTATGTTTGTTTGAAAGGTGTGTATTAATGTATAAAATATAGATGATACCATATGATGCCATACTTTATAACAGCTTATGGTAGTGATCATGTATAATGCATAAATGGCCGATGTGTGTGTGCCTGTGTGAGAGAGTGAGACACACACATGAAGATGTAGTGCAATATGGATATGATGTTATGCAACAAAGATGGTTTCATGTACAAGATTGAGACAGTATCTATATAAAGTTTGCACTGACAGCATCACATGCTGTAGCTATTAGTGGGACAGTGGCTCAGAGAAAGCAGAACAAATCAAGTTGAAGGTTTCAGGAGCATGTATTTGTATTCACTTAAAATATGTTCTGGATTATAAGAGTGCAGGTGGAAGTATTGATGGACGTGACCGTTCATATTAATTGTTTGTTTATTTTAGCTCACTTGCATCCCTCTGAACACAACGGAACATCTGAGGCTTGAGGATGACCAACATCAAGTTCTGTTTTTTGGTCTCTGATTAATTATTTATTCAGAACTGTCCATTTCAAGTCTTTATATTTTTGTATTTTCCTTTCCTTTTTCGTCCACACAGAGAAAACTGTTGGGTCTTGGCCACAAATGCTGTAAATACAATAAGGATGTTGGGGTGCCATGTGGCTTTAGATCAGCCATTCACGCCGCTAAATTGAAGTATAAGAATCCATTGGAGCCAGAGCCCAATCTAATTGCTCCAACACAGATTACATTTGCGCCTTCTGGTTGGGCAATACACACACGCACACCCACATTCACATGCACACAAAACATCAGCACGTCCATACATGCATTCACATTTACACACTGATGGAATCACAGAAACGACAACACACTCATGAATTGAACAATATGTTTTCGATTTATTTCTTTGAGGGTTCAGTGTATTTCTTAATATCTCTCTCAGCCATCCGTATCATAGTGTGATATTCCTTATAAAGTATATGAATTTTTACAGAAAAGAGTAATTACAAAGTTACAACAAAGTCAACTGATGCAGAAAAATATATTCAATAATGACAATATGAAGCAAAATAAAATGTTCCAGTTCAGTGAAGCGCTTGTTGTAAATTAGCTATAAAATAATAAAATTAATTTAAAAATGCTTTCTGAAAATGGACTCAGCTGCCTTGTTGTTATTTTTTCCTTCTCCGTTGTCCATAATAATGATTTGAGCCCACCCACCATTCCACAGGTGGGGTTTAGGAGAGGTTGAACACAACCAGAGGAGGGCGCTCAATCTCCACTTTTGGCTGCTTACACAAGTTCCTCTGAATTGCACTTGCACCAGCTCACTCTGGCTCTTATTTTGCTGGTGGCTCCCACAACCCCCACCTCGTCAAAGGGGGAACCATTTTCTTGTTAGGAAAGCACAGAGTCATGAGGATCACTTGGTCTGATTGTGTGTTATGCTATAGTGTTTACGTGTGTGCACATGCTGTTCTAATTTAGCGCTGGATCTCTCAGGGTTATTTGCATTTAGGCATATCTAATATGTAACCTGGAGCCTTTGAATTTCTTTTGGACTGAACTCATACACGCATAGTCAGAAATAACAAGTTGCCCGCCAGAGAGCCTGCTGAGCTTTTTGTTTTGTTTCTTGACATCACAAACATGTTGGTACTTCACCTGCTTTTGAGTTTGATCATTTCATTCTGCTCACATCGCTTCAGTTGAGGATCAGAACAGTGGCAGAGTGGGAAGAGAAACGGTTTGCACGAAAAGTGGAAAATCAAGTGGACTGTGTCTAGTTGTTTTAAAGGCTCAACCCTTAAGCCATACCCTTTCCAGGCAACCATTCTTTTGTGGGGAGTCTGAATTATTTCGCAACCAAAAATCAGGACATCATCCATCTGTTTGAGCTTTAACCATGCTGCAGTGTGGAAAGTGACAGTGACATAGAGACTCAGAAGGGACGAATGAGGAACATCCATCATAGGTCATAGATGGGATCTAAACCCACACACTGGTAGGGCTTTCTCCCACTCACACAATTCTGTTTTCCTCCTATCCATCATTATGTCCAGTCCATGTATCAGGGCTCGCAATGCATCTTCCTACAGACCGGTAGAAGAGCGTACAGTTGGATCCTTGAGCGAGACAGATGCCTGACAGATGGATTATTGGGAAAAATGGCTAAAGTAATATCCTTGCTTCTAAATTCAAATTCTAGATGTTTTTTCTTAACATCCAGTGATTCATGTTTCCGAAATCTTGAACCCAATAACATCACAGATACACAACCACTCACTCATCCTCTGTTTTTTATTCTTTTTACCAGGAAGGACGGTCATTATAAATGAAAGAGGAATTAGGAGCAAACACTCACAGAATAATTTAATTATGCAACTGATTAGCATCAAATTTCACTTCAGATATGAAGGAGGAGAATCGTCGCAGAGTGAGATTAATTCTCAAACTGTTTGATCTCACAAGGCTTGATGGGATCTAAGTAATTGTCATTATGTGCTGCAGTCGGTCCTGTATCATTAGCAATCAATGGCAGCTCTTTCACAGTGTAGTGGGCTGAGGCTGGAGTTATGGCGGCCTGCCTCTGGGTTCCTGAGCAGCAGTGACATGTGGATTTGGATTAAAGAAAACTTGACGTGTGCGCCTTGTTAGTGTTGAAAGATGGCTCACCTGAGATTGATTTCAGAGCTACCTCAAATTCTTCGATCTTCTATTCTACTGTGTGAAGAATCCAGTCAGGCATTTGAGTCCAGCATAAGCTTTCTCACAGTTCGAAGGCGGCATTGTCAGCAGACCTCAAGCGTCAAACGACCTAGCGTGTTACTTGAAACTTAACTTTAGCCCTCAGTTCAGTTAGATCAGATCAGTGTTGTGACCCTGAAGAAAATGTGACCATGGTTATAGCGGTCGTGGCACCGAGGAAAACTTTTAGTGAGTTGCTCTGTGCACTTTTTCATAATTCATTGCCTTTGCAAAAAATAATCTATATTTTCCCTTTGCATAAGCTATTAGATCGGTGTGCCTGTATTCTTCTGTGAAGATTTAATTCTTTGGTTAAAGTAATCCTCTTACATGTGGATGATTATCCAGCAGGGATATTTCTACCTAGGAGTTCCGCAAACCTCACAGAATACATTTAGTCAGCTCCAGAATTTTTCAGCCTCACAACCGAGTACACTGTTGTTTGTCACCTTAATTATAACACCACAGCTACAGTGGAGGATCAAGCACAGAAGCTTTCTCCATTATCTGTCACTGTCCATCTCAGCCTGCTGTGGTTTCACTCTCACTCTTTTGTCCCCTTGTTTTACTCCCCCCCCCCTGCCAACATCTAGCTGTTAGTGCAGGACAACTTTTGTTTGGTTGCCCCGCAGTTCAAAAGATCCGTACTGTTTATAGGTTGCCATATATTGGAATGAGGTAGCTTTGTGTGCTTTCCTGCTCTTTATCTATTTATCAGACTGGCTGCATGAAGATAAGACCACGCTTCCTCAGAACAGTGGACGGCAGGATGTGGTGAAGGAATCTGCTGTGGAGATACTACTTTTTGCTTGTGTGGAACCAGCTGTCTTCTTAAATTCATAGACCGAGATAATAATGCTCCTGTGGATAAATCTAATGGGTTTCTCAGCTTTTCTCTAAAGGCTTACGGAAACAGTATGCTACAGATAGGAAGACCAACAAAATATTTGTGAAAAACAAAATGAGCTGTAAGAAGGAAATAAAATGGATTATGATTTGTGCCTGATGAAAAAGCCCTGCCCGTGGAAGTAATATCAGGTGTGTCGCGTACACAGGAATGATATCTTATTTTTACCTTGACATTTTTTGGGGATCAGTGTGAAATATTAATTCAAAGAGGTGTCCATTTTGTACAGCAGAGTTTAAAAAATCTAAAAGAATCCCTGCATTTTTAAATATAACCTTGGAGAGTCACTTCATAAGCTGATCTGCAAAAAGAGAGCTTAACCCAAGACAGCTCATAATGTCGCTGGGGTGAAAGGCATATTTTCATTTCATAACAGCAATGAATATATCACAATCAAATATTTAGGATGTCGACATTCATCATTTTTCAATGTTTGAATACAAAACATTTCTGGTCACCACAGTTATGAAAAAAAAAATCAAACAGATGATGAAGAGAGAGCTATTGTGGAGGATCTTAACAAAAAAAAAGATAGTCATTGTACTAGTTGTTCCAGGGGTGCAAATTGCAAACTCAGTTCATTACATGCCTTGTGCCATCATGTCACTCTCGTTGTAAATTAGGGATGTTAAAGGATTGTGTCTTGAAATATAAATCAGTGTGCTGTTACATCCGCAGAGCTACCTTTCTACGCAACATGGTCAAATCCTAATGGGCCAGCTGTAGCTCAGCTAGGAGGTGATGGGCCATTGATTACAGGGTGATTTGTGGTGCAGTCACTGGATTATCATGTCAGAGTGTGCTTTTGCAACACTGAAACCCAAATGTCTAAGGAAATGCTTTGGCAAAACTGTGTTGGTTTCTCCTTGAGGCTTAACTCGGGTTGAACCATTCTTTTAGTTAAATGCTGATGTCAGGAAGTTGAGCTCAGTAAAGTCATTGTTACAGACTCACCCGGCACCCTTAGCTTCCCGTAAAGAAATACGACTAAGACTGCATTTATCAGTTCATTTGTTTAGGAGACACGTCAATTACTTTTTATCTCATTGTGGTATTAAGGGAACTTACTAGTTAATATGTTTCTTTTACTGCTTACCTCCACCAGTCTCATAAAGCCGTACCTTCATATACGCTTTCAACATCGCATGACAACCAGTAAAACAGGAATGACATTCGTGCATCTGATAACACAAAAATAAATACAGTAAGTGTGCTCAAACGGCTGGCAACAGCCTCCTGTTCTCCCACCAGCAGGTCACCCTGATCCTAAAGCTCATCCAGCTCACATATGTGCTGTTCTGCAAATTGTAGACTTAGTGTGAAGCAGAAAAATGGAACCTCCTAAGGATATCTCTCAGTCTAGTTACTTCTAGCTGAGGCTCAGATTGCAGCATCCCAGAGCCGAAAGACAGGGCGTCATTAAAGAAGCTTAGAAATAAGAATTTCACACTCTGCATACAGTAAATATGACACCTTTGGTGAGCTGAGTAACCCTACGCACATTTTAAATCATGTTGCTTTGACTATAAGTTTATACATCACACTAACACATGAGCAATGTAACAGAGAGAATCATGAAAGAGAACAAAAGGCATTACAAATAGTTGCCATGCAATGTTTGTTGTGCAAGTGATGCAATTAGTTTCTTATTCACAGAGAAGAAAGAAAATGTATTCCCAGTAGGGACACACATGTTGTGTAAAAGAGCTGTATAAAAACTTCCTCCCTTGTTATCTTCTTCATACAGGATCCATTATAATCTGGTGTGGTTCATTTTAAGATTTCTCCTTAGAAGATTTATTGTTTTCTGGAATGTGTCAAACTCTGGGAAGTACAATAACCTCTGTGTAATAGCCTGCAGTGATGTCAGCAGGATGGATAACAGAATGGATTGAGGATTCAAGTTTCATTCAATTGCTTTTTATGCTTTAGAGATATTACAAAATCAACAGCAACACAATTTCATGCTGGAAGAAAAAAAACCCTGGTTGCGCCTTCTCCAAATTAAACATCGGTCTGGCCTTGTTATTCTGCTTGAATTGCAAATGTCTTATTTACATTTTGTCATTTAGACTTAAAATTTGCATTATTTCTTATTCATGCTGGCGACTTTCTCAGATTTTCTTCAAAACGGGATTCTATTCAATTCCCTCAGGAAAACAGCCATTAATTAAATGAGAAAATAGTCTGGGGGTGCAACTGTGATGTAATTAATCAGTCATTTTATGTCCGTCATTAAATAATACTGTGGTCAGAATGACTGGTTGAGCAAAGAATATTCATATTTTGTCATAAGATATTCAAACTTAGAAATGGTGAATGAAGTGGCACAAATGCATTATTACCTGTTTATTATGTAATCAATGCGAATCATATGAAATCACGTCTGCCCACACAAAGTTGAACAAGATTTCTTTCAGTCTGCCGAGGCAATTATCGGAAAGGTTGGCAAAGAATCAGGTAAAGCTCTGAGCTGATCTGACAGCATTCCCCACACCCCAGCTTTCAGGACTTTAAATGGAGTCCACCATATTGAACATGCTCAAATCCACCAGGTCCCTGAGGGCCAATGAGCTGCTGATGAGCCGCTCTTCGATTAGAAGTTGTTTAAATGGACTGCCATTACATTGCAAATCACACTGTGTCCACATATGAATGTAGTTTGTTATTGTCAGTAAAAGTAATGATCTGACTGCTTTGATCAACATCGAGAAATGAATTTCCCCGTTCAGAGGCAGGGGTTAAAATATGTTCATATGCTTGCAGGTTTAATTTGGCAGACAGCTATCTCAAACTCATGTCAGTGCTTGCCATGGGTTGAATTCATTTGTGACAAAGTCAAGACACATAAAACTACCTTTCATCATACCGGATACTGACTTATCAAAACAAAGGACCCGTCTAATGTGAAAGCCTGAACAAACGAAATCACTAACTTAAGTTAACAAAATTAAAACTTTAACGCTGAACACTGTAGAGTTGTTTTTACAGATGGCTTCCAAGTGCTGCTGTGGTCTTGACATTTGGCTATAAATAAAATACATTTCGTTTGAAATCCAGTGCACCTTTCTTGATATCAGTTGCTTACTGGTATTGATTATTGAACTCTTCTGGCTTCTCAGTGTTTGAATTAAATCGTGACGCCATATAAACCATTATCAATTTGTCATGTGTGTGGGTGTGTATTTTTGACATATTTTTTTGTGTGTGTCCATCCCTGTCCTGTTACAGATCTAATGTATATTAGTTTATCTTTTAAGTGTTTGCATGTCGTGCTACAGGCTGTTTATAAGAGTCTGGTGTTATTCTGTGGGTGTGTATATTAGAGAAAAAGGCAACCAATTCGCAGTTATCAGTGAAGTTCTGAAATACACTTATCTTTATTAGTCCTTTATAATGCTCGTCTTGTTTTGAAGGCGCTTCCCGGAAGTAGTGTTGCGTATAACGGTCCCTTGATTTAGCTGTTATGGTTACTGGAGTGGGAGGGGCTAATTGGTGCTATTCGACCCCCGGTATGATGCGGAGATGTACTCCTCTCGGTGACCAGCTCACCAGTCAGTCCCGAGAGCTGCTCTTTAAACACAACTTTTAATTTCCCCTCTTGCGCGTTCAGCCTGTGGATTTTTCTTTTGAACAAACCAGATTCCCCGGTTTTCTCGGTTTCAGTGTAATTTTCCCCCACAAATCAGGCCGGGCTAAACCTGTCGCGCTGTATCCCCCCACCTCATTTTGGTGGGTTATTTTTCCGACCCCAGCCGACAAATGTTGCGAGAAGAAAGAATTTAAAGGACAGACGAGGAGCCCAGTGACCGGACGTTTCTGCGAACACGTCAAGAAGACGTGGAGAAAGGCAAGAAGTGGCCGACATTAATCTCTGCAACTATAAGGATAACGCAGTGAGCTTCCCTGCGCGCGCGAGCGAGCTGGCAGCCGAGGGGGAGATTTTTGGGCTGTGAAGTCAAAAACTAAAAATTTACTTCTTGCAGCCCGGTGTCTACGTTTTAACCATGAATTCAGCCTGCTGACAGAAGGACTGAGGCGGGAGAGGAGTTTACGACGCCGTGGTCTGTTTCTCACTTGTTTTCTGCCAAGACTTTCACGTCGCAAAGTTGGACAACTTTCCCGTGTGTGGGAAAAATAACGCCCGCTTCTTATAACCCCATTTTGGCCGGTTTGAATCTTTTTTTTCCTCTCTGATACGGTGTACTGAGCACATGGACAGTTTCTCTCTGAACAGGAGTCGTCTTTAAATGCGGACTGGGTCGCCACCAGTGTGTTCACAGCCGAGCTGCCGGTGCCTCTTGGCTTCTCACCAGAGTCTGCTCGTTTTTTATTATTTTTTTACCACGTAGTAACAACACCATGATGGAGGCGATGTACAGGAGCATTCTCCTGTTCGGGTTCGTCTTCCTGGACTGGGCTCGTCTGGCTGCTGCAGAGGAAGGTGAGTCTGGCTTTTTTTTTCCTTTGGAAAAGGAAATGCATAGAAACCACAGTACGGTATAGAAACGCCATAAAAATGAATGTAGTAAACAGGAAACCTCAGTGGAAGAAGCTTATGTATCCTGTCAGGATTCGACCATAACCTCACACAGAGGAAGGTTTAGTTCATCTTAGAAGACATTGTTTTTGTCCCTTGTTGTGTCCACAAAGGCCATCTCTTAGACAAAAAAAAACGTCCAGCTGCTGCTTCCTGTGGGACTATTAACCACCTTAAGCCAAAAATCAATACTGAAACATTCAGGGCATTTGGTGGGCGAATATAGGCCCAGTGTGCTGTTAGTGGGTTAATGCAGAGGGCTATGAACAACTTAGTCCTTTTAACTTTTCCATTTAGCCTTCAAGAACGGCATCAAACGCTCCGTATCAAGTTTGTCATCTGGTTTATAATTTGTATTCATTTTGAGAAGCAGCCTTGACATTAACAGGAAAATTGCCTTTGATCAGCTCTGTGAACCATGAAGGGAGAAATAAGGCAGTATGAAATGATCTGTCATGATGTTAAAGAAAATAATGGTTTCCAATGGTCTGGTTTTACAAGTGGGCACAGCTCCACATCATCAGCAACAACGGAGGCAGAGTCTGGATAATTTGCTTAATGCAAGGGAGGAAGAGTGAGTGTCAGGGAGCCACAGTGACAGGGCTCAGGGACCGCTGTTTGTTTATTTCTAATACAGTGACATTAACGGGAAAGTGTCGGGGGCCGTGCAGGGAACTGAAAAATTCATTTGAGTCACTTGGAAATGCTGCTGAAGCATTTATGTGGAAAAACCTTTGACACAAAATGGCCTTTGAAAATAAATATAGATGTGTTTACTGGGTTTGTGTTGAACTGCAGGGGTTTTAAAAGTTACTGCTGTGTGGACTGCTCGCTGTTGTTCACCTGAAAGGGCCGGTCTTTATTCGCTGCCGTGCTTTTTTCCCTGCTCGGTGCTGTTTTTGTCTTTGTGCACAGCTGGTTAAAGCCGCGCTGCTGCTGTTTGTGGTGCGTCCTTTTTCCTCCTTAATTAATTCATTTAATCCAATGATTTCCCATCTCGCCGTGCCTGGCTCAGAGGGCGTCTGGTTCGTCTACAGTGAATAAATACGTTTCCCCTGAAAACAATGAGAACGGCAACAATGAAACTTTTTTCCCTCAAGTGTGGGTTTTCCACTCAGAAGTTGCTGTAAACAGGAACGCCGTGAACATGCATGACTTCACATCTTCTGTGGCAGGAACACAAATCTGTCATCTGTGTCTGGTTTGAGGCTTCAGACTTTTCCTTTGGCCGAGAATCACATTTCAGCTCCTGTTGTTCCCTGTGTAAACACCCAGATGCAGCACATGCGACATCACCAATGGGTTCATTAAGCGGGGGGGCTTTAAGATTTGCAGTCTGAGCAAACACACCCATCAAAAAGCCATGTTACATTACCGCAGCCTCTGAGAGTCTGAATTCTTGCGGAGAGGACTTTGTTGACTTTGTAGTCGGAGAGAGATGTTTGGGATTTTCCCAGACCCTTAAATATGGTCTTTTTTTCTTAAAGTCAGGCTATCAGAGGAGCTGTTGCCTTTTCTCCAGATTGGACTGGAGGTGTAATTGCTGGGACTCCATGTCTCATTCAACTTGGAATTTTTCCTTTTCTCTCTTCTTTCCTGTGGGCCAGAGGAGATGCTTAACCTCAGGCCTGCCTGTGAGAGGTCAAGTCTCAAAGGACTGTGGAGGCAGGATGACCAAACCCTGAAAGAATCCTTAATAGCTCCGGCTTGCTCCTCGTTTCACATTCTTTTATTGTTTACAAGACGGAGGAGCTAAACAGGTGTGGCCCTGACACGGCGTGGAGAACAGGCATGCAGATGAGAGCCATGGGGTCGCAGAGTCTTGTCGGCCGACTCCAGAACATCTGCGTCCTGCCAAGTGTGAACAAGATGTCTAGTCTTCTTGTCTTGGGTAGTGGCCCACTCCTCTGCCAGCACGCTCTCCCTCATTCCCCCTCTTGTTCTCCACCTAGTAGGGAATTCTGTAATGAACTGATGGGAGGGCAGATGAAGCTCTCATCTGCCAAATCTCTCCTCCTATTCCAACTAAAGAATAAATGACTCACTTACACACACCACTTGCTTGTTCAGTGCGTGGATCTCTCTTCCTTCTGTCTCTGTGAAGATTCAAACACAGACCTCTTGATCGCATAATTACTTTGGCTGGAAATGAATAAGTGACTAAATTGTAAAGAGGACGCATGCCTGTGTTCAGATCATCTCACATGTATGAAAATAGCATTCTTTCTGCTTTGCCTTTGAATGTGAAAAATGTATAATACACAGAGGAGTATAACCAACACATTAAGACGATCTACTTAAAACCAATATTAATAATTCCCACTAATATAGACCTACTACAAATTTAAAACACATTTAACTTAGTACAGCTATAATTATCCCTTATCCTCCTACACTCAGGCTCACCCTGTAAAAGTCCCCATTTTGTGCTTCTTCCAGCACCTCTTTATTCCTTGCACATACGGTTTTGGAAGAGGCAGCCAGCGACAGAAGCACTGCGGTCTTTTCCACCTGTTCAGGTCCACGGCTTTAACGATATCGGCTCTGTCGTCAGAGGTGATCCCTTCAATCACATGCATGGCGCTTCAGGGCCTTTTTGCGGGCAAGTTGAAACCGATTGCCATTGTGTCACTAGTTATGGGAAAGCCGTTTCTTTTTGTGGAAGTTAAACTAATGATGGACAAATTTTTATCCCAAAAAAGATAAATGCAACTGAATACCCTCTCATTCACCACCAGATGAATGCAGTTCTCTGTCGGGGTGTCAGTAAACGGCAATTAAGTCATTAAAGAGCTCTTTTGATCTTCAGACAAATGAAAACAATCTGGAAAGAAGGGGGAAATGAAGGCATTTATTTAGGCTTTGTGTTTAGAATTAGAAAATGATTGCAGTTTGTCAGGTTTCTCCACACAAACGTGATGTTTAGCTCATTTGAACTGTTTCCTACCCTTTTGATTCTATTGAAAATGGTTTCATTTGGGGACATCTCAGGCTTTATATAAGTTTTAATTATATTTGTCATAAAAAAACAGACTGAAATCACCACCTCCGACCACTGAGCAACACGGCTTTATTCATCCACAAAAGACTTATTTGTCAAAGCATCATTCTCCTAAATTAATTTTAAAAAATGACATTGATCATCCAATGACTTATTTGAGGTTGAAAAACAAAACGAAAAAAGTCTTAGCGAGACGTGCATTAGTTTGAAGAGGAGTGCTGCCACAGAAATACTTTAGTTGATGATTTTCTTGAACTAGTCGATATTCTGTGTTTTTTTTCATGTGACCTTACATCGAGGAACCAAATAAAAAAGGCAGTTAGATTTGTTGAGTCGAGTCATATTATGCACGCAAATGGAGTCTGTAAATGTGTTTGCACAACACAGAAGTCACTCAGAGAAGTACAAAAGTTTATTTTTGGCCCAGAAGCTTATATTTAGTGTTTACAGTTTCATTGTAAATCCATCTTTCTTGGCAGTCGGTATTGTGCTCTCTGCAATATGGTATGTTTCTGCAGCTGTTCTGCCTTTCTATCTACAAGTTATCTTTTCACTTGGAGTGCAACAAGAGAGTGCAGCTGCCGGTATAATTTGTTTAGCTAAGCCCTGTCATGTTGTAGGGGTGAAAAAAAAAATCCTCAGCAATTCTTGGATTCTGGTGAGGAGTGAAGTGTCATCATGTTCCCTGCACTCTTTACACAGCTGTAAGGGTGCGTTCCATATTGGTCGCTCTCATGCCACAGCAGCCACCTATACACAAGGGGTGACATTAACACCTTTTGTTTGGCTCCTGAAAAGATGTTTTCTGAGCTGAGCTCACTCCGCCCAAAGGTAGGGGAGGGGGCCAAAGGAACCTGAGTGAACTGTATGAACTCTGCCGCAGTTCATATTACATATGCAACTTATTGTTGAATTGGTAGGACGCACAGCACATTACTTTAAAACCCCTCAGTGGACGATCTCATGGCCCAATCAGGGAACTGAAGTGTTGACAGGTTAGCTATCTTGTTCTTGTGAATTGAATTGAAATGTGTCACTGAACCAATTTAAAGGTGTTTTGATTATTTAGCTATTTTTATGTTCATTATTACCTATTATCCTCCCGTTTTCGGTTAAACCATCTATGATGCAAGCATGGAGAGAAAAGCATTTAAGCATCTGAAAATACTGACAGCGTACAGACAGGAGTTCCTATAGAAAGTGAAGCAACAGTGAAGGTTTATTGAACACAGCTTGGTGTCCTAAATACTGCCGCTGCTTCAACTCTCACATATTTAGACTAAATTTAGCCAGAGAAAAGGCCATTTATGTTTTGTTTTTTTTGTTTGTTTGTTTGTTCTGAAATCTATAGTCTGAACAGAGAATCAAAGGTTCAAAGGAAATAGTCTAAAAGTGGTGGAACGGTAAAAAATTACAGCTGACATCAAGAGGAATAAACTCCTGACAGGGACACCTTTAATATGGAATTACACAAAACCATTCATGACATGTGATTGTATTATCAGCAGATAGAACACTGCTTTCAATCAGGTTTTACCCTCTTAACCCACTCAAAAAGAGTGTTTACTCATTTTTCATAGCATCTGTGTCCTATTGATCCCATCACTTCCTAACACCATCTTGACGTATAGAACAATGTTGCTCAGTCTAAACTAACCCTCACTATGTGGCACCAGTGCAGAAAGGGGGCCTTAGTCGAGTTTCAATCCCCCCCTTTTTTTTAACAGACTTGTACCCTTTTCTTTTACTACTCTTTCCATGTCCTCTGTCTCCTTGATGTTTGACTTGTGCAATGCTGTTTTCTCTTGCTAACCATCTCCCCTGCCATGGAAATGTGGATCGTTTCCCAGAAATCCTTTTAAATGGAACCGATTTTTATAAGAAAGGGATTTGCATTTTAAAA